TGAAACTTATTGATAGTCCAGGTTGACATGGATGGTTTAGCCAAACTACTGAAAACTGAAACCACATGCTTTAAGTCAAAATGCCACAAATCAGTTCATCTGCATGTGTCAGCTGACTGGTTTGGCTTGACTGAAGTCCATAGAGGTGGCCTGTATACACGTGTACTGCTCTGGAGAGGCAATCACCACAGGCTCTCCCCTCTGGCAATACTGTCCAGCAATCTTCTAGCAACCATGAGGGAAGCTGTTCTTAAAGAGCTGAACAGTGCACTGAGCAAGGCAGAATGGAGAGATGAAAAGAACCTGAGTCCTTGATGGCGATGTTGGGCCACTGGTGGACCCACCTTGGAATTGACCCACACTCAGCCTCCTTGTTATGACATAATACATTCTCCTTGTGACTTAAGCTATTTTGAATTGGGTCTTCTGTTAGGTTCAACCAAAAACACACTAAATGATTCACGGAGACAGATAAATTATCTGTGATAGAAAACGTTTGTCATAGGTCAAAAAAAAAATCATGATGCAGAGTGAGCATTCAAAGGATACTTCTCATGCTACAACTTAACAATCAATAAGGGAGGGAGGGATGTCAGTGACTGGCCTGATCCACCTTCCTGAGGGATCTCTGACTTAGCGGCACCCTGCTCCTTCAGTTCCCTGATTCTTATGGACTTAGTCCCACCAGGTACCATACTGGTGCTCCGTGGAGAGCAGTGAGAGAAAATATTAGACATCTGAAATCAGAAGAAATTTCTGAAGCCAAAAGAGCAAACACAGTAAGCCATATTCATGAATGTTCCTTGTATTTGTGTGGTAGCTTTCAAGCCAGCTTCTTGGGTCTCTGGCCCCCATCCCATCTCATGCTTGGCTTTTTTGCGCACTGGGCTTATAAGTGAGCTAATAAGAAAGAATTTCATAATTTTTTTAAAAAAAGATTGAAAATCTTTGCATGGGGGAAGTTATACTATGTATTCTATTGCTTAACCAAAGAATTCATTACATAGTGACCTCTACTGGAAAGAGCGAATGTTATCACCAGGGCTGACAAAATAAGTAGGCAATTTTGTCTGTTTAATCAAGGAATTGGTTAATTTGGAAAGGCAATGCTGGTCAAATCTGTTATTTAAAGTAAGGCCCAATTGTACTCTGAATATTTTTATTTTAAAGAAAGATTTTGTGAACTATTTCAAACTTTTGAAGTATAGAAAATAATACAATAAACACATACCTGCCACCCAGTCTTATCAAATCTTAATATTTGAGCACACCATTAAAGAGAAAACCACGGGCCTAAGATGATGCCACTTGTGCTAAAAGTCCATGATACCAAGCCTAGACTTCATACCTGACTTAACTGTAGTTTTGACCTTCCCCAGAAAGGTAATCTTACTCAACTATCTACAAGTTTCTGGTTAGTACCAACAAGATGATCTGTTAAGTGGGCCTTCTTCATCTCCCTGAGGAAGAAGAGGCATCTGCATGATAAAACCCTCGCTTTTCCCTTCACCCCCCAAAAGATATCCTGGCCTAAAAATAATCCTTTCTTTCCCTTTACCAACAGCTCCCTTGCCCATCATTTTTCCTATAAAAACCTTCCATTTTGTACAGCATCCTTGAGCACCCCCCTGTTTAATAGAGGGGGTTCTGCCTGATTCTTAAATTGCTGAATAAAGCCAATTAGGTCTTCAAATTTACCCAGCTGAACATTGTTTTTTAACACTTCAGGTCATTTTTTAGTAGGACAATTCTGTCTACATGAAGCCCCCCTGTCCCTTCTATTGTGGGCACAATGCGGCGGCTGGTGACGTGGTGACCCGTGGGTTGGTAAAAGAATTTACCAGAGATAAAGTATGAGAATAGAAAGGAGTTTATTAGGGTACACTGCTGTAGACAACAGGGGGCCACACAGATGAGAGGTGACTGTGCGAGTGAGCTCCAAGGGCTGGTTATTGGGGTCTTTTATAAGGTCAGGCCACAAGATGCCTGATCGGCTTGTGCACAAGTCTCTGACTGGCTGTAGGTGAGGTAAGAGTTTTAGGGTCTGTAAAGGGGTTTGACTCTGATAAGGTGGGCTGAAACAAGCCAGCCTGTGCTGTTGTGACATTGGGCGTCACCTAGGGCTTTGTTAGCGGAAACACACCCAGTAAAGAAAGTACTTATCTGTTGAGGGATCGCAGGCAGACATCTGAGAGCCCAGGAATGGGGGTCGTTGGACTTTGAAGGATATCAGTTGGCCCAACACCTCCCCTTCATCCCCTTTCAAGAGGGTACTGCTGAAACCGAGCAGGACCCTGTGAGGCCTCCCCGGGTACAAAAGCCTTTCTGACTCCCCCATTTCTCATTTGTAGGAAAAAAGTTTTAGCTTCCTAGATCTTCCTTGAGTTCCAAAGGGCAGATTCAAACAGTTGCTAAACAGGGAAGGGAGGAAATGTAGAAACAAAGGAAAGGCAGTCAAGAAACAATAGTGCAGCCTTGGGGCAGGGGCCTGGTTTCCCCCAAGGGATATGTATAGCAATCTGGTAAGTGTCTCTGAGTTCTTCCGTTGAAACTAAGGCCCCCCTCCAGGTGGAGGTTGGTAACTTCAGGCTGAGCACCAATCTTGGACTCCAGACTGGTTGCAACCGGAAGGCTGGCGATCGAGATTCCTGATGATTGAGATTCCACCCTGATATCTCACTCCCAACAATCAGAGGAAAGTCGCACACCCTGCAGCCCTTCCAGCAAATTTTGCCTGTAAAAACTCTTCCCTGAAAACCATCTGGGAGATCAGGCTTTTTGAGCGCAAGCCACCTGTTCTCCTTGCTTAGCCCTTGCAGTAAACCTTTCTCTACTCCAAACTCTGATGTTTCCATTTGTTTGGTCTCATTGTCCAAAACACTACTTGGTATTTATCTTTCAAAGTATGAATATTTTCATACTTCTTCATATAAATGAATTATGTATGTATGTGTGTATTTTTTGGTAGAGGGCGTAGTTGTATTTTTTATTTACTCTTAGAGGAGGTACTGGGAATTGAACTCAGGACCTCATGAATGCTAAGCATGTGCTCTACCACTTGAGCTATACCCTCCCCTCATATAAATATATTTATATATAAAATAGGGTATAATGTTGCAAAATTTACATTTTTATGTAAATGGAATCTCACACACACACACACACCCCTTTCTGAAATTCACACTTCCTGCCTGTTGTATTGGCCTGCTATTGCAATCATACCCCTCTCAAGGGAAAAAAAAGCAAAACTTTTGAGATTTAACCTGATGGGGAAAACATGATTCTTCATAATAGAGGTACGTAGGATAAAGCTGCTGAAGGGATTTTGTACAAAAATGTTTGAAAACCAGGACAAGCAGCATTATTAGTGACAAATTAATATCATTGTTAGTGACAAATACTCAACATCATAAACATAAGAATTTAAGAAACTTATGGGTTTCAAAGTGTTCTTTAGAAAACAGTCCAAGGAGGAAACAGTCTTGGGAATTATAACAGCAGGCGGAATGTCTTCTAGGTTTTGAGGGATTCTGTGTTAGTTAACTTAGTCTGTCATATAAAATACCACAAATGGGGTGGCTTAAACAACAGAAATTTATTTTCTCATAGTTCTGAAGGCCAGGGAGTCAAGATCAAGGTGCTGGCTGATTTGATTCTGAGTGAAGGCTCTCTTCCTGGCTTATAGACAGCTACCTTCTCACTGTGTCTTTACATAGCTGGGGAAGGAGAGAGGGTGGAGAGTGAGATCTTTGATGTCTTTTCTTATAAGGATACCAATCTTATTGGATCAGGGACCCACCCTTATGACCACATTTAATCTGAATTACTTCCTTATAGGCCCTATCTCCAAGTACAGTCGCATTGAGGGTTAGGGCTTCAACATATGATTTGGGAGTGGGGGGAGTGCACAATTCAGTCCATAGCAGAATCTTTCCACAGTATCGCTGTCCGGTAGTCATTCAGCCATTACATCAGTGATTCTAGTGATAAGAAATTAGTACCTGGAAATACTTCATTGCAGTAAAATAAATAAATAAATAAATAACCCCCTCCTCCCCAAAATAAAGGCTTTGATGATGTTGGATGTTATAAACAGAAAGGTTTTTAAAGTAAACTTTTTATTCAGTTATAACGCATATACTGAAAAGTGCCCAAATCATGTTCAATGAATTTTCATAAAGTGACTACACTGATGTAACTATTACCCACACAGAGAAATAGAACATAACCAGACTCCCTCCTCCCATCCCCTTTTGTGCTTGAGAGTAAGTTTCCAAATTCAGAAATATTCACTTATTGTTGTACAAGCTAAAATCTACAGTCTATTTCAGACTTTGACTGAAATTCATTTCCATAATAATATACTCTTTCTGGAGCAATTAATTCTCAAAATTTGGTTCCCAGACAAGCAGCCTCATTATCACCTGTGAACTTAAGACTTGCAAATTCAAGGATCCCAGTCCAGCCCTACAGAGCAGAAACTCTGGAGGTGGGGCCGAGCAATCTGTGTTTTAATAAGCCCCGGGGCTGATTCTGAGGCCTGTGGGTTTGGAGAAGCATGGATCTAGGTCTGTTGGAAGAGTGTTGGTTCGCGATCGAAGAGTAACTGTTAAGCGAATACTGGAATCTAAAGCGTTACGCTTGAATAACGGTGACAAGTTTTAATCACCTCTTTTTGAAACACACTGCGGGTAACAGGCTTTTCCATTTTAACCAACTGTATTGTTGTTCTAGTCAATGTTGCATTTTAGCACGAGGATAAAGCAGCCCGCTCAGCTCCTACCCTCTTTCCCAGCACAGTTAGAACTTGTTCAGTTTACCAACAAACTGGCGCCCTAGAGCCGCGGGGAATTCAAGGTCAAGGGGCGGGAGCAGGTCTCGGCCAATCAGAAGCCAGGCTCGAGTCTCTCGCCCATCCCAGCGGTGTGATTGGTGGTTTCCCGCGGGCGGAAGCGATCCTCGGCGGCTCCGCCCCGCGACCTCCAGCACAAGCCAATCGTCTCCCGGCGCTGGAAAGAGCAGAAGCCGCGCGAGCGATTTAACATGGCGGAGGACGCAGCCTCAGCGGCTCCGAGCCCGCGAGGGCGTGCTGACGGGGAGGATGCGGGCCCCTCGGAGGAGCGGACGGTGGAAACGGCGAGAGAGAATCAGGAACAGTTTGAGTGCCAGGAACTGCTCGAATGCCAGGTGCAGTTGGAGGCCCCAGAGGAAGAGGAGGACTCGGGCCTGGTAGCTGAGGCCGAGGCGGTAGCTGCCGGCTGGATGCTCGATTTCCTCTGCCTCTCTCTTTGCCGGGCCTTCCGTGACGGCCGCTCCGACGACTTCCACCGGACCCGCGACAGCGCCGAGGGTGAGTGCCAGGCGCGGGCCCGGGGGTCTGGTTTGCCGCGCTGTCCTCCCGGGGGGTGGGGGTGTCGGGGCTCCTGCGGCGCCGGAGCGAGGGCTCCAGGCTCCGAGTTGAACGTTAGTTCGAATTCCGCGTCGGCCTCTTAGCAACTCCTCGTTTTGCTCAGATTCTCAGTTTTTCTCCGGTAACGGTAGAATGAGAATAAGACCCTCGGCTAGAGTTGCTAGAGGGTTAAATGAGTGGAAAATGTATAAAATTGCACCTAACCTAGTGTCCAACTCCTTTTCTTTGGCGCGTGTATTTTTTTTTTGAACTGAGTTATTCCTGCAATGGCATTTATTTAGCAAGTCACTGTGACCTAGGCTTCAGTGTTTTCTATGAATTTGTGAGCTGTTTAAATCAGTATAGGCTTCATAATAGAGGTAACCGACGGTGAAATCCGCCTAAACAATGCAGCTTGTAAACGATGGACAAAGACATTGACGCGTAGAGACTAGCTGGCTTTTTTGAATGATGCTCTAGTATTTGTTTAGTTGGCACCCAACTATTGCAGCTGAGTGCAGCCCCAAAGCTAGTGTTTAGTGGAAAATTAAATACTTCAGAAAACCATATTGACACATTTCTTGTTCACGGTTATCCCATGAGTTACAAAAGTAATCTCAGTTTATAGAGGAGTGAACTAGTTAAGCAACCTAAAGTATTGATAGGTAGGTTAAAAAGATTGTTCTAGACCCATGCCTTATCATCCAATTCAAGAACCGTTCCTCTGTGTCCGGATAACATTACAGCCGTGGTTAATTAACATTAATTAGAAAGTTAAATCCTGGAATGAAGCCAGTTCACCATAATTAGAATTTTTAAAAAGTCCTGTTTGGGGAGGAGGTAATGATATATTTCCTTGTTCTCTCAGATGAAAGGGCACTGAAGCAATGTAACCCTAGTAGCAACTGCTACACTTAGTACCCAGGTCTTGGTTTCTAATACCATTCTTCAGAGAAATTGCCTGATTCTAGGACTAGGACAGGAAATATGCAAGTTGAACCTGGAGTGTCTGTGACAGAAAGTAAGGAAGTGCTAGAAACAAAGCCAAACAAGACTCCCAAACTAACACAAACTCCCACAAAGAAGGGGGCCCAAGGGGACACAAGAGCCAATTACAAGAACTCCCAGTGGCCAAAGCTGAAATAACTCAAGCAAGAAAGTAAAGTACAGTTGACCCTTAAACAACAGGTTTGAACTGTACCTGTCCACTTACGTGCCAGTTTTGTTTTATTTTGTTTGCATAGTAAGTACTACAGTACTACACGATCTGTGGTTGGTTAAGGCCGGCTATAAAGTTACACAGGTATTTTCAACTGCTCAGAGGATCAGGGCCCCTAACCCACACATTGTTCAGGAGTCAACAGTAGTGTTGGATTATAATCCGAAGTATACAGTATCTGTAAGCCCATACTGATGTAAATAAATGGCAGAATAAATACATGAGTGGGAGAAGAGACAAATCTCCTATACAGAAGAATTCCTCTGTCCTCAAGGAGATGAGGCATAAATTACCATTCCTTAAGTATAGGCTGTGCGAAGTGACTTTCTTCTGAAGAGTGTAGTGTAGAAAGGGAGAGAAAGAATAACTTTTGGTAGAGAAACCTGACAAACACTGCCTCACCTAGGTAATCAAGGTCAACGTCAGCAGTGATGGTTGGTAGCTTGTACACTTGATATAATGTGATGAAAATGGAACTTTACCCCTGTGATCTTCTTCCCGAAACCCTGTAATTCTAGTCTAATCATGAGAAAAACTTCAGACAAAGCCCAATAGAGAGGTACATTCTACAAAATACCTCAAAACTGTCAAGGTCATCGAAACCAAGGGAAAGTCTGAGAAACTTACAGCCAAGAGATCCCTAAAGAGACATGACAGCTAAATGTAATGTGGTACCTTGGATGGAATCCTGCGGCAGAAAAAAGATGTTAAGTAAAAGCTAAGGAAATCTGAATAAAGCATGGACTCTAATTAATGATGTATCAATATTGGTTAATTACTGTATCAAATACTAACATAAGATGCCAATAATAGGGGGAACTTGGTAGAGGGTATATGGGACTTCCACTGTCTTTCTTCACTACATTCTGTGAATTTAAAACCATTCTAAAAAGTAAAGTTCATTTAAGAAAAAATAAATAAATAAAGACGCCTTTCAAAGTTCTAGCCCAAGACCCAAGGAATAATCTAGGCCACCTCCATTACTTTAGGATTAAAGGCACAGAAACCCAGAAAGAGTAAACTAGTTTTCAATTTGCATTGCTAAATCAGTGACAGATATACAAATTGTGAACATAGTGTTGTCTCAATATTCCATTTTTTTAAAAATTGAAGTATAGTTGATTTACATCTGCATTCCATTTTTGACTGAAAGGACTTCCTTTTATGAACTCTTCTGTAGAGTTCCATTTACTACAGTTTTCAAGATTGTAAAAATATACAACAAAGAGCATGCAGCTCCCAAGTGAATTGAGTTTGATCTCTGGCTCTGCTAGTTTATAGCCATGATACTTGAAGCAAGTACTTGGTACCACCACCGTTTCCTTGGTACCACAATTTCCATCTGTAAAATGATAGTAATAATAATATCTACCCTAAAGGGCTGTTGAGAGAAGCAAATGGACTAATGTATATAAAGCAGAGTCTCTCAGTCTCAGCCTGTTGACATTTTGTACCACATCATCCTTTGTTCTGGGTATGCTAGGGATGGGGGGCAGGGGGGCGGTGCAGGGGTAGAGATTCTCCTGTGCATTATAGGATCCCTGATCTCAACCACTAGGTGTCAGTAGCACCCACTCCTCCCCCTTTCCACTTATGACAATTAAAAAATGTCTCTAGATATCGTCCCTAGGGGACAAATCACCCCCAGTTGAAAACTACTGGTAAAAAAAAAGGGGGGGGGGAGAAAACCACTGGTATAAAGTGCTTACAATAGTGCCTGGTGTTAAAGTGCTTAAGTGTAGTTGTTGCTGTCATCAGCTCCTCCCTCATGTGTTTTTGTCAGCAGTGTTTGGTTACAGGTATGGAAAAAGCAGATAACCAGGTTCAACCAGGGTAGATTTTCATAGTTTTTGTTTTGTTTTTTTGCCTAACGGGTACAAAGAATAGAAGGTCAATGGTTTGTGGGATATCTGTAGTGATTGCATAGTAGACACACTGAAGATGAAGAGAAGTGAAGACAGAAGGGATCTGGACTTTCTTCCCTTGACTAGATTAGATCTTTCTTTTGTTTGCTCCTATACCGCACTTATCCTTTATGACACATTAACATTTTAATTAGTCACGAATAACTTTAATTTGTGCCTTCTCAGACTTTATTTCCTCAGAGAAACCTTTCCTGGTATCTGCTCCCTCTAAACAGCTACTGAAATACATTCTAAGATTTCTTTGTAATATGCGTTCATAGCATTTTGTACTTGTCTTTTTCAGTTTTCTCCACAATTTTGCTTTAGTTGTTCAGTCATTTGTCTTTTATTGCTACATGATAAACCTGTTGAAGACCAGGATTATGGTTTACTCATCATTGTACATACTCACTGCCTAGCATAACATCTGGGTGGGCATTCAAATATTGGGGAGATTAATATTAATATATTTTTAAAAGCTTTGTAAACTGAACGGAATCTCACTGAAACCTTGACAGAATTAATATGTTTCCTATAATATTAGGCATTTTAAGGTATAAAGTTAGGTTCCAACCGATGATTTGACACATTTTATAAATTTGGATCTAAATCTCCCTCTTTGTTACTTGTGATGCTTACTTTGATACTTGTGATACTTAATGCTACTTGTGAAAGTATGTAGTTTTTGGTTTAGGTGTTTTTTTTTTTCGGGGGGCAGGTAAATAGGTTTATTTATTTAATTTTTTTTTTATTGGAGGTACTGGGAACTGAACCCAGGTCTTCCTGCATGCTAAGCATACACTCTACCACTTGAGCTATACCTTCTTCCTGGAAAGTATGTGGTTTTAAATAGGTATTATTCTGCATATGAAACCTCAGTTTTATTTTGAAAGAAAAGTGTTCATTGTTATTCTTTTTTCTGATTCCTTAAAAATTGTCTATAAGTAAAGCATACATCTCTAAATTTGTAATAGTCTTTGGGTGAGATTTATAGCCTATTACTCAGTAAACCACACAGAGGCACTGCTGGGTCAAATTTGGTGTTCTGTTTTGTTTTATGTTTTAATAAAAATCACTTTTTCACTTTCAGCTATTATTCATGGACTGTCCAGTCTAACAGCTTATCAACTGAAAACTATATACATATGTCAATTTTTGACAAGAATTTCAGCAGGAAAAGCCCTTGGTAAATATGTTTTTTTTTTTAATTGAAGAATAGTCAGTTTACAATGTTGTGTTAATTTCTGGTGTATGGCATAGTAATAGTTATACATATATATTACTTTTCATATTCTTTTTCATTACAGGCTATTACAAGGTATTAAATATAGTTCCCTGTGCTATATACAGTAGGACCTTGTTGTGTATCGGTAAATATGTGTTTTTATCTTTCAAGTAAGTTCCCAGGTGATTGTGATGCTTATTGGGGAACCATGCTCCTTGGACTCTGTCTTAAAGATATCACTGAATTTGACTGGATGGTAACTTTGTGATGACTCTTGTTACTATCATACATAACACTGTTTTTTACTGGCAATTGTGATACTTGAAACCTCTTATTTGAGCTTGATTTCAGGACTTACTCAATAATAGAATGTGATTTATAGTTAAAATAGCTTTCTCCTTTGTCCTCATAGTTTATTTTAGATTGCAGCGGCCAAGCCTGGTTCAGTTTATCAGTAATGGCTGATATTTACAACATGGTCATTTAAAGGACCTTTTGATGCAAATAATTACATATTGTTTCTTACAATTTACAAAATGCTTTCCCAATAGTCTCCAGTGGTAGGCAATAATTATACAAAACCGTTTACTTATAAACATGTTGCATGACATAAAATCCCAGTGTATTAGTACCATTCTCATGGCCTTAACTAATCTGGCTCTGGCTCATGTTGTGTGCTTTGTTGTGGGGATGAGGTTAGGTCTGGCATTGGTGCCAGGACCATAAGTGAATTAAGACTAGAGGCAGAGTAGATACTGGGGAGACAGTAGATACGTAGGCTGGGCTAGTGGCTGAAGAAAACAGGCTGATGTAGACGCAAAGAATTCCTGACCATGCAGTCCACAAGTTAACATGGTTAACAGAGTTGTTTTGTAAATGTAACAAAATATTCTAAAGGTGCTCAGTTGGACTTTGCATATAGCAGTTGTTCAGTATATCTTCGCTTCTCCCTCCAACAACCTTTCTTCCCCCAAAAAAGGTGGAAAAAAAGTCCCTGTTTTGTGTGTGATCCCATTGTTTAGTCTTGGAATTCACCGGGATCCTCTTTTTGGTACATCTTAGATGTAATAAGCCAAGGTCAGTGATCAAGAATCAATACATTTCACTATAATGGACTCAAGTGTGGCAGCATTTAAAGTTTCTTTTTAAGTCATATATTGGATTTTCAGCTATATGTAACCCTTTTGCACTTTTTTTCTTTTAGTGATTGCTGTATAGCAGCACTGCCTAATAGAAATATAGTGTGACCCATATACATGGTCAAAACTTTTCTAATAGCTATGTTAAATAAAGTAGAAACAAATTGGTGGGATTAATTTTAGCAATATCTTATTTAATCCAATATTTCTAAAATACATGTCAACGTATAATCAGTATAAAACATGCTAATGAGATATTTTACCACTTTTTTTTTCAGTAGGTCTTTGAAATCTGTTGTGTATTTTACACTTAAAGTACATCTCAGTTTGGACTAGCTGTGCTTTAACTGCCCAATAATTATGTATAGCTAGTGGCTACCATATATTAACTTGAATCTCCTGTCCCACTTAGCCTTAATTTATGGCAAATGTCTTGCAGGGGAAACTTTTGTTTATGGCAGGCTCCCTGCTCTCCCTCCTCATAAAGGGACTTGATCTCTGAAGATCTGTGCAACTTCGGGAGATTTCCCTACCTTTCCACCCCAGCTTCCTGCGCTGCCCCCAGTATTCAGCAAATGTTTTGTTGGGAAAAGTCAAGCATGTGTTTTCAGTTCCTCTAGTTTCCCATCCACCAAGCTAGTCCCAAGGAAATCACCAAAAGCTTTCCTTGTTTCTCTTACCCCAGTAAAACTCCTGCCTGGAGTACACCAGATCCTCAGCCTTATCAGCAAATGAGCCCAGGGAAGAAAAGAGCTGCAAATCATCAGCTTGCCTGAGAAGGACTCTCTCTGGAATGTAGCTCATCTAATTCTCAGTGCTTACACAGCTGTCCCATGTCTTTTGTGACATGATTGTAATTTATCCCAAATTTTTTCTGGTTTTAGTGAGTGTTGTCCTGCTGCAGTATCCTACATCCTACTGGAAAGTGAAAGTCTACGCTATGACTTTTTTAGGAAGGCAGATGAGTAAGAAGGGTTAGATAACGTCAGTCACAGACTTATTAGGAATGATGAGTATTGAAATGAGTTTCATGCTGATCTTCACTCTAGTGTCACTTTCTCAGAGAGGCCATTTCTAAAAGAGCCTACTCCTCTCCCATTATTCCTTGTTCCTAATGCCTTTTTTATTCTTTTTAGCTCTTGTTACTCTGAAGTTATTTATTTATATGTTTATTGCCTGTCCTGCATTATCATTATGAACATAATAAGAATAGAAACTTTGTTTTATTCACTGAGGTATCCTCAGTTTTTAGGCAACTGCCTACACATAGTGAATGCTTAATACTTGTTGAATGAATGGATTAGAGATTATAGATGCAAGACATACATAGTGAAGGTGCTGAATGTCAGATTGAGATGTTTGTATGAAATTTACTAAGTAGTTACCAGCCACTGTCAGTCTTTGCTTAGAATAACCTGATGAAAATTCTGTTTTAAGAAAGTTTAACAGTAGTACAATTTTCTCACTAAATATTCACATAATATTTATTGTCAGCATTTTATAAGTGAAAAAACTGAGGCTTAGAAGGGTGAAATAACTTTCAGCACCACACAGATAATACACAATGGAGTCTGGAATAAACTCCAAAGTCAAGTTTTAAAACCACTAGATTGGATATGATGATGACAAAGAGGAAAGAGTAAAACAGTGACTTCTTAGGTTTGAAGCCGTGGTGATTGGAAGAGTATTGGGAGAGAAATAACTTCTCAAATGATCCTGTTTCAGATATCTACAAAATACATAACAAAGATTTCAATTAGTATATGGTAAAATCCAATTTCAGTAAACTAATTTCATGCTCTGTCTTGAGGTTTGTTATATTGCAGTTAAACTTTAAAAATCACTTAAGAATTCTCTTATTGTGACACTTTATGTAAAGTTAGCTTATTTCAGCTCTTAAAATCAGGATTTTAGTAGAGAAAAGCTTCAGATGTTTTGTGGACTCATCTAGCTTTTTCTTTTTTTTAAAGTTGATTTTAATGAGGAAATTAACATAACAAATTAAGTCACTTCTCTAAACTGGTATATACAAGAGTAGTGCCTGGCCCATAGTATACACTCAGTCGATATTTAAAGAAATGTATTTATAAAAACTTAACACCGTAAGGTTCTCTGTAGCTTTCTAAGTTACTTTTTTTCTTTTTTTTGAAAGATGCACAATTTGAAATTGATGAACGAATTACACCGTTGGAATCAGCCCTGATGATTTGGGCTTCCATTGAAAAGGAACATGACAAGCTTCATGAAGAAATACAGAATTTAATTAAAATTCAGGTATGAGTATCACTTTATATTTATAATTATTACTTTGCTAGAAAATACAAACATAACATTTAAAGAAATTAAGAGCCACTTAATAGAAGTTGGATGGTAAACCTATGGTAAAATTTAATGTAATCATTCTCTTTAGAAATTTGACTTTTGGTTTATAGTCTTGACATGTAATCTGAAAGCTGGGACTTAATGTTTGCTACCTATGTGCATATTGCCCCCACTTTGGAAAATACATCTGACCTAATTAATGATCACCAAACAGCTTTCAAAAACCAGTTTGTGCTTTCCCATTTAAAGATTATCAAATGGTGAATGAATGGAATTTTGTGATTAAGAGAATGTCAAATTTTAACTGTATAGAGAGAATTTAGTAGACTTAATAAAGAGTGAGAAGCCAAGGAAAGTCATTCAAAGGAATAATAGCAGGGACAGTATGTTTTGCTAACAGGCAAAGCAAATACCCAGGATTTTCATAGTTAAATAAACTTTTCCTGATTTTTCAAAAAAATGTCATGGTTGAGTAGGAGAAAACAGTCCAGGTAGTATTCCACCTTCACAAGAATTAATTACTGATAGTGTGGTGACTATCAGGTAGAATTAAGACCTGAAGAATGTGGTCAGAAAAATGACTGCTTTTATTAAGAACTTCAACCCAGGCAGAGATATGTCATGTTATCCCAATCTTTTGGAACTCTAGGGGAAGCAGCCCTTGTTAAAATATACTCATATAAAATTGAGTGGGGTTACCATAAAAACACATAGCAAACATGTAATAATATGTTGCTTTCTATTTGCCAGATACTGTTCTAAGCACTTTCATATATAATTCTTTAATTCTCACACTACCCTAGGAAATAGGTACTTTTATTTTCACCATCGATAAGAAACTGAGGCACCAAGAGGTTAAATAGCTTGCCCAGGTTTACAGAGCTACCCACATGATAATGGTGGTCTTGTATCTTACCACATATGGTATCAAAAAGTCCAGTTTATAAAATGATTATTCAAAAGCATCTGTCTTCCTGGCTTTCTACTAGAAATTTTCCTGGGCTCCTAAGTAGCAAATTTTGTATATTCTAATCATCATAAGTGCTGTCAGTCTGCCTCCTCTCTCATTTCCCTTTTGCTCAAAATTAGTATTTTGGTGGGCCCTCAATGTACATGGTATAGCTCCTAAGTTATTTATTAACACTTGTGTTTAATTTGGCCTAAATTAGAAAGAGATAGAATGCTGGGCGTTTATTAGTAAATATTCGAGGGGCCAATGAAAAATTTTCATATCATTTCAAACAATAGTTATTTTATCTCTGAAAAGTATTTTATATCATTTGTCAAGTCAAAATTATTAAATTGCAAAATAATATTTTAAATGACATAGTCCAGGGTTATTTCCATGTTAAACAATTATTGGATATTTTCAAAAGCAATCTAAGGTATGTATTTGTCATCCTATCTTTTAGGCTATAGCTGTTTGCATGGAAAATGGAAATTTTAAGGAAGCAGAAGAAGTCTTTGAAAGAATATTTGGTGACCCAAATACTTGTACGGTAATTATTTAAATTAGAATCAGAATTTTAGAGCCATTTATATGGAATAAAGAAAATTGAAAGAGAGAACATTGGAGGAGAAAAGAAATGCTTTCTCTTTTAAGTAGTATAGAGGAGTACTGTCCAATAGAAATACAATGCCAGTCACATGTGATTTTAAATTTTCTAGGAGCCACATTAAAAGAGTAAAAAACAAATAAAACTAATTTTAGTACCGTTTAACCCAATATATCCAAAAACATCGTTATTTTTGACAACCAACATAAAAAAGTATTGGTAAACTGATGATTTGCAGCTCTTTTCTTCCCTGGGCTCATTTGCTGATAAGGCTGAGGATCTGGTGTACTCCAGGCAGGAGTTTTACTGGGGTAAGAGAAACAAGGAAAGCTTTTGGTGGTTTCCTTGGGACTAGCTTGGTGGATGGGAAACTAGAGGAACTGAAAACACATGCTTGACTTTTCCCAACAAAACATTTGCTGAATACTGGGGGCAGCGCAGGAAGCTGGGGTGGAAAGGTAGGGAAATCTCCCGAAGTTGCACAGATCTTCAGAGATCAAGTCCCTTTATGAGGAGGGAGAGCAGGGAGCCTGCCATAAACAAAAGTTTCCCCTGCAAGACATTTGCCATAAATTAAGGCTAAGTGGGACAGGAGTTTGAAGTTAATATATGGTAGCCACTAGCTATACATAATTATTGGGCAGTTAAAGTACAGCTAGTCCAAACTGAGATGTACTTTAAGTGTAAAATACACACCAGATTCCAAAGACTTACTGCAAAAAGAAAAAAGAAAGAAAAAAGTGGTAAAATATATCATTAATACATTTTATATTGATTATAACAGTTTTTTGGTTTTGGCCAGTTTGTTGGTAAACTGGACAGTTTCAATCTGGAGAGAGATGAGGAGCTGAGCAGGCTGCTTTATCCTCATACTAAAAGACAGTACAGTTGTCCCATGGTGTCTGCCAGGGATTGATTCTAGGACTCCCATTGGATACCAGAAATCCAAGGGTGCTCAAGTTCCTTATATGAAATGGTATATAATGGTATTTGCATATAACCTGTACACATCTTCTCCTATACTTTAAATCATCTCTAGATTGCTTACAATACCTAGTACAATGTAAATGCTATCTAAATAATTGCCACCATGTGGCAAATTCAAGTTTTGCTTTTTGGAACCTCCTGGAATTTCTTCTTCCCAAATATTTTTGAACTGCAGTTGGTTGAATCCCAAGATTTGAAATCCAGGATACAGAAGGCTGACTGTACAAAAAAGGGAGTGCAAAATATCTCACTAATACTGATTCATGCATTAATATGTTTCTTCTGTTTTCCTTAGCCTTTAAAAAGGAAACTGCTTATGATAATCTCTCAGAAAGATACATTCCATTCCTTTTTTCAACACTTCAGCTACAACCACATGATGGAGAAAATTAAGAGTTATGTGAATTATGTGCTAAATGAAAAATCGTCCACCTTTCTAATGAAGGTATGCGTATTTCAGAGAGATTCTAAACGTAGACTTAGGAGAAACTGTTACAAGAAAGGAGAATGCTTGAAATAGAAATCCTTAAAAACTAATCAGAATTTTATTTAGTGATTTTATAGAAGAACGTGGCAAAATGTTAAAAATAGTGAATCTAAAGGATTTATTGGTGATCTTTGTAATATTTTTATTTTTCAAAATGAAAAGTTGAGGGGAAAACTTACCAAAATAAATTAGGAAGTAAATGAAAAGAAATAATTCGTTTTAATTTAATTAAATTTAAAAGAAGTTTTTAGCGTATTTTTGAGAAAAGTCAAGTTGGACTGAAGGACAGTTAAAATTTTTTTTGTATAACATTTTATCCTGTCTTAGCCTCAGAAAGTTTTAACTTAATATGTTATAGTGGAGCATTGATTAATTTGAGGTAGTTTTATTTTTTAAATACCTGGAATTTTATTTTAAAGTGACATTTTATTCTAAAATTGCCTAGACAGCATTGTGTGTATTAAATACTTTTATAAGGAAAGCCCTTCTCCATGATGCTTATAAACCAAGTATGCAGCTGATGGTGATGTCATAGTTACTGGGAAATAATAATGCACTGCCCTTTATTGGCCTGTGAACAGATATTAGGTTATGATTGTCAAAGAACCAGAAGGCTTAAATGCATTTCTTCCTCTCCCACAACCCCCCTTTTTAAGGCTGCAGCAAAAGTAGTGGAAAGTAAAAGAGCAAGAACAACTTCTCAAGATAAATCTAATGGTGATGATGTTGAAATGGAAACTGAAGCTAATTTGGATATAGGAAAAAGGTTTGTGAGTTAATATATTTTTGTCTTATGGATGTAGTAGCTATATCAAAGTGATGCTAGTGAGCCATTATTAATAAAAATAATTTTTGAGTAGTAGGTGTATTGTCTTACTGATGATTAACATTTTGATATTTCGAAGTCCTATAGAGTTACTTCATGGCTTATGCAAATTCTGTTATATATGCTAAGCAAAAGTAGAGAGAAAATAGTACTGTTTAAACAGTGTAGTCATATTTACCATTCTCAGGGAGCATATGCTCTGGAGCAGCGTTGAGGTTGAAAGTGTGACTCCTGTGCCCCTTAGTTCTCAGATCCTACATGCCCTCATGTGACTGTTTTACTGGACTGAGGGTTATTCTAATATTTTTAAATATTCATATGTCTTCTCTGAGGGTAAGCTAACTGTTTCATCTGGTTCTGAAACGAAGAAACTGTGACTTGCTCCAGTGCCAGAGGGCAACAGGCTGTGTCTGTCCTACATGTTGAGAGACAGGAGTTCAGTCTCCCTGATTATTTCTTGGTGGAGGATCAGCGGTAGAGTGCATGCTTAGTAAGCACAGGGTCCTAGGTTCAATCCCCAGTACCTCCATTAAAAATAAATAAATAAACCGAATTACCTCCCCCAAAAATTAATTTAAAAAATAAACTGTAATAAAATTATTTCTTTAGGAATTGCCAAGGGTAAATTTTACAGGGTTGACTTTTACCTTTTTCTTTAGCTTTAGAAACTAACCCCTATTGAAGAAGATAAACTCTACCATTTTAAACATTATAAAGTTATTTTCTCTTGAACCTATGGTCCATTTCCTCTATTCATCCATCCTTAAACCAAAACCAAATAGTCAAATCCTTATGGTCTCTGGATGGATGTATTTGGCAATGGATGTATTATTACTCTAAGTCTTCCATGACTTAAACGCTGCAAGTCCTCATTTTAACTACTTTTTGAGAGGTGGGGATTCGAGGTTGAGTTGAATGAACATGGTATTGGTCACACTTCAGGACTGAGATCAGTCTCCGTACAGTTCTTCTTGTCCCTGCCTATCAGAGCTTAATCTGCTTGCTCCTCACTGCTTCATCTCCCCAAGGGCTCTACTGAAGTCTTATTTCTCATTGACTTACTTATTTCTAAGACCCATTTTGAGATGTAGAGATTTCATTTATATTGGCTCAGTTTTTAGTTATTTCATTTTGTTTAGGAAATCAAAGTTTAGTAATACTAAGACCCAGTACATTCTGTGGCCCAGCCTTGTGCCCAGTGTAGTAGTGCTTTAACATAAAATAAAATTCAAACTTACCGTGATTATTGTGGATAATGAACATATTTCCTATGTACTATTCTAATATAATACTACCCACTTATTTCAAGTGCCCTTCTAGACACGTACACAGTTCCATCAGGGTGTGTAAAAACAGAACTCTCGTTCTCACGTGTCTCTGTGTACCCTGGCTCTCCTTTACCTCACACATCCAGTTATCTCCCCAAGTGTTAGGAATTTCATCTCAGAAATGCCTCTTTAATGCATTCTTATCATCTGTGTCCTGGATCATTACTTAGCTTTGTACCGCACAAATCCATCTTTGACTTGACTTCCAGAGTTAGCTTCCTATAAAAATAAATCTGTTTAACTCAGTTCCCAGCTAAATAACTTAATAATTGGTTTTCTGTTTCCTACTTGATGAATAGATTGTATTGCATGGCTTACAAAGCCTTACTTAGCTCCTTTCTGGTTTTGTTTTCATATACACTTTGTCCCTAAGCATTAACCCCTTCCTGCCCACATACATGGCACTTTCTAGCAATATAACTTCTCTCTGACTTTCAAATATTATGAGCTCTTTCAAGCCTTGACTCTGCTTCAGTTTTGAATTTTCTTCTTTTTATTCTCTTCAAGATCTCACTTGCCATTCAAGGTCCAGCTCAGAGATCACCTCTAGAAGTCTTACTAAGTTCTCTGATCAGAGCTGTCACTTCTGTGCTCTCACAGCACTGAGTCATACCTCTAGAAAGGACTTATCTTGAATAGTAACATATCTGTTTACCTGTTTCTATCTCACTAGATTGAGAATTCTTTGAAGGTTCTTCATTAGCTCTGTATTCTTGGTGCCTAATTCATTACCAGGCATACATTAGAACTTACATTGCATTAGACACAGAGAACAAAACCAAAACTTAGAGACAAAGTAAAGATCAAGAATCAAGCATATATCAAAACCAGCCTGGGAATCAGGGCAAATCATCAAATTCACCAGTTTCAAGGAAAGAATCAGTAGGAGGCAAGTGAAGAAGGATAGAGTTGGAAGTGTGATTTTTGAGGTCAAATGGCTGGAAAAGATGAAACCCGTCACGTTAACAACACTAGATGAAATACATATTTTGTTCTGATAAAGTTTATAAAGTATATGAAGCAATAAAAAGTATAGATTGGAAACAGTAGGAGACATTACATAATTTGTTGTTAAAGTTTATAGAGAGGCTCAAATGCTAAGAAGTTGAAATGGACAGCTTCACCCAAGTGTCACCATTGAGCTGGCCTTGAAGGATGGTTAAGATTTTTTACAGGTGAATAGAAGACAAAATGTCTTTCCAGGAAAGAGGAATAGTTCCAGTGAAGGCATAGAGGTGCAAATGGTCGTACTGTGTTTGTTGGAGCTAATTGTAACAATAACAAAGGGGAAGAATTTTATAAGTTCAGTTGGAGACTGCTGGGGAACACAAGAAATTAAATTTGATTTCACAGTAATATCCGTAAGAGAGTTTTTGAAAAAGTGACGTGAATGCTCAGTTGCAGCATTAACTCTGCTGAACTTATGTTTAGGGAAGCTTGATTTAATGACTCTGGTAAACACATCTGGGCAAAAATTAGCCATGTTGTAATGGACTGTAAAGGTCCTAATTTTACCGGTGTTTATTTCCAAAGAACTTTTTATAAATTGAAATATGACTTGACTATATGTACTATCTTATGAAAAGTTTCTTCTATTTACATTCTTACAAATGTTTTCTTCTTTTAAAGTGTTAGTGACAAACAGTCTGCGGTAACTGAATCCTCAGGGGATACAGTATCCTTATTGAGGTGAAGTAAATTGACATTTTATTTTCTCTGTTTTTAAAATCTTTGAAGCAATTCATGCAAATCTAGATTGGCTATAAAAAGTGCCATGCAGATGGTATGATGTGAAGAATATCTCAGGGTCCTCCTTATTTCAGTAGATTTTTAAGACCCTGATGATGTGTCTTGAATACCATGCAGTGGAGACCTGCCTCTGGGATCCTGGGTGGTTTCACATCGTTTCTACAAAGAATACACGTGGAGAGAGTACTTTAACTTAAAGTGATATTTAGTAAACTCTCACTCTGTCAGAAACAAGGATATGATGCTGGGGCAGGAAGGGAATGGAGGTTTCATTTCTGATGAATGTCCCAAATTCTTACCTCATCAGATTGCTTAAAAGACACTATAGCTTACTAGAAATGCTATGACAGACAGTATAACATGTTCAGAGATCAAAAAGTCTGCCTGAATGATTTCCGAGGGTAGCACAGTTGGGATGCTAAATGAACCATGGCAAGGGGTGGCTGACTTGGTGTGAAGGAGGTCACTGGAAATGAGTTGACAGGCCAGGATGTTATATGGTTTATCCATGAAAACACTGAAATAATTCATGGAAATGGCAGTACTTGGGGGTAGAGAAAGATTTGTGAATGGTGGGAAGTGTTTGGAAGGATAGTGAATGATTCTGGAGCATGGTAGATGGTGATACACTCCTGTGGCATGAATCCTCACAGGCTAAGATTTCTATGGAAACAGGATCCTGAAAGTGGCATAAATTAAGAAATGAAAAGTATAGAGAGCCATCCCGAGCCATCCCTGGGACCCTGCAGTTCATGGAAGGTGGAAGATGAAGCTAATCTCTACTTGAGGAGGTCACAAGAGAGAGAAGTACTGTCCACAGGGGAGAGCTAAACTTTAGACAAGGCGAAGAGGTGAAGAGGTTGAGAATGGCATTCCAGAGGACGCAGTAGCAAGCTTTGGGAGGGAGGGCAGGCACCAGCAGGTCGCGTAGAGCACTCGTGGGAGCAAAGGTGTAGGTTTCCGGTGGTGATGAAATAGCTGCCTAAGCTTAGGTGAGCTGCTTCTTTCACTTCAGTTTACTTCTTTATAAAACGGGAATAATACCAAGTTTGCAAGGTTGTCAGAAAATTCTACCACATCCTGTATGTCCAAACAATTTTAACCTTTCAAAAAAGCCCTATTTGGAATCTGTAAAGATAAACAGGTGATACCTGCCATCATTTATAAAGGAATTTGAGGATTTCTCTAATTGGAAGACCAAAAGAATCTTAATTTCTAAGTAGATGAGATGGAGAAAATAAGTGATGGGAGAGAGGGAAGTCTGACAACAAGTATCTTAGAGGCCGGAGATTAAGGTGGACACTAAGCAAGGAGAGTACCGAAGGAAGCAGGCCAAAGTAGAAAGGGGTCCTAGACAGAGATGGAGACAAACCATCTACCTTTTTTCCATAACTTTTCTACTCTTTGCAGAACAAATGACAAGCTTTCATGTTTCATTTAGGTCTCACAAAAATCTCTTATCTAAGTTGAAACGTGGAAGCCAACAACAAGATATTAATAAGAAAGAGGAAAGAGGGGAAACTCTTCAGAGTAAGTACACTCATTACAGTTTTGGGAGTGGAGAATTGATGTGTCCTTGAAAGTAATCCAACCCTTGACCTCACACCACAGCACACAGACATACTTCAGAAAACGAAAGCACAAAGAGATTAATAAATGTCATGACTTCACAGAGTTAACTAGAGATGGTACCAATTTTAAAAGTTAGCTCTTCTGACTGCCTAGCTTAGCGTGCTTTTGCCATGCTTACCTTAACTTTATTTGGCAACTTAGGCTAGTTCTTTACCTGAAACAAAATATAATTGATTCTTTTTATTTTTTGCAATGTTCCGTAAAGTCATCATGACACTTAATCAGTGAATCCAGAACAATTACAGAGGAATACCGGGTTGGGTTCTTTTGAGCCTCTGGTTACATTTTTATCAACTATTCAATAAATAACCTTGTTTTATGTGTTTCTGTTTAAAGACACTATTTAATATATGTTGTTGATTCATTAACATTGAACTCATGGCCAACACCACTATAACTCATGCCTGAATGAAGCTTATGTAACACACATTTTCTCTGCAAGGAACTTCGTATATAGCCTTCTTCCACTTAGGAACACTAGAGGGGACTTCCACAATACACTTGGGGGCCATTTTAAACAGCAAAGTTTCCCCAGAAAAGCACAAAAATATGGCACTAAGTAGACTGTAAAAAGAACAGTTATTTCTAGGGTGGAAGCTGAAACAGGAAAGCAGAGTTTCACCTTGTTTGACCTCAGCTGGGAACATGCACGTTGGGTAACTCAGCTCAAATTTTTTGCCACTCTCTGCATGTCTACCAGTGACCACAAAAACACTGCAAGTGTTGATTTTTGAGTTACAGCTTTTAGCAAGTAGGTGAATTTGCAAATACCAGGATCCATGAATATAATGAGGATTGACTGTATATAGAATCTGGCTACCCTCCTCATTGCATTTATAATTTATTATCCTTACAAAAGGCATGGCTGGATTTAAAAAACAAGCAACAATAACCCAAACAAAAAAATCTTAGAAGTGGTCCCTAATTATTTTCTATTATAATTTGATTATAAGTTCCTCCTTAGTATATATTCATGCAATAAATGTCTATTGAACTCATTCTGTGTCTAATGCAGGGATTTTTAAAGCTTACTGATTCAAATCTAAATACTTACTGATCGATATAAAAATAATAGATGTACCAATCTGATGACAGGCTCATAGTAGGTCTGCAGTAAATAATAATTGAAAAAATTTATTCATAGCTGATGGCTGATGATAGGGCCGCTGTTAGCTATTATGTGTAAGTTACAGTTCTAAAACATTTATACCCATAGATATTATCATCATCCTCACTTTAAAGATAGTAAAGTTAAATTCAAAGAAATATTTGCTTCATGTTGGAGTTCCTAGCTGCAAAACGGCTAGGAATCATAATTCTAAACTAAAATAATTTGGAGATTTTCCTGCATTTGTAATTTCATCATACAAAATTCAAAGAAATGAAAGCTACACCTTTCTGCACTCTTGAAGATCAGTAGTTAAACTGATGAAGACCATAATTTTATTGGAGAGTGTCTTGACGGTGACTATAGATAAGCCTAGAAGATCTTGTGAGTTTTAGTACATTTCTTAACTTTTTGTTAGATATTAGTAATATATAAATATGTGTTCCAAAAAATTCCAAGTTGTTTAAATGGTGCCCAGGTATCCTCTTGTTACAAATAGAGGATATCAGTTTTGTTTGTGGTAAACATTTAAAAAAATTTTTTAAACATCTTTAAAATTTTTTTTTTAGATTTGTAAAATCGCCATAGACTTTAAGAAAGAAACAAGTAATTAGAAAAGTTGAAAGAAAAAAGATCACATAAATTCTTTCAGTGCAGAAAAATCTCAGCAACATTCAGTGAAATGATGATTAATATTTGAGTTAAATGCATTTTATCTATAAACTCAACCCTCAAAACAGTCTGGATTGGTGCTTTTTTTTTTTTTAAATCACTCCCATTTTACAGATGAAGAAGCCAAGACAAAAGGAGGTTAAATAAAAAGCCGTTGGTCACATAGATTGTGAACTGGAACCAGACCCAGAATTTGAAGTCAGACATTTCTGACTTAACAGCCCATGTCCTTTAATGCTGAGAAAGACCGTCTTAATGGAAGAATAGACAGAATCATAACAAATAAAATTTATAAAAATGTGATGAGGTTACATGTTTTACTTTAAAATATACTTACATTTATGTTTTGAAAGGTGATACTGAAGAATTTAGTGAGCTTCAGGTAAATGCTATTTCATAAAAAATACATCAATAAACTATAAGATTCCTCCAAAATGAAGAATAAGTAATATGAAGTGTTTTGGGAGGTTGGATCAGGTTGCTTCTATAACTGTCAGATTTAAACTTTAAACTACTAATTGATTTTAGCTGTAAATGGTGAGATTAAGCAAAAAATCTCTCCCACGCATTCTCAGTTTTCTTTTTGGTAATATTTTATATGATCAAATTTTATAATAGTCTGTTTTCTAGCCATAATTCTCATAGTAGTTTAATCTGTATTTAAATTGATTATTGCTCATCACTAACCCTTTGGTTAGGATTTTTCTGCCTTTAACTCTTCATTTTGATTTATTTCTTGTTTGACTGGGTTTTTAAAACCTTGCCAGGTCCCAGAGTCAGTGCACTGGGCCCAGGTGAATGGTGCAGGCAGTAAGTTGTACTGAAAGGAGGAACTTGGGACCAAGGGCACATTTTGAGTAAGTAGCAAAACACTGTAGCAAAGAGTCCAGTTCCCTTCCCCAGGAGAGAGTAGTTATGCAGTGGCCAGGCTGGGGTTCCCTTGGCTCACTTAGGCGCCCGATTAACTGCAGAAACTGTTTAATATCAGGAAGTGACTAGCCTTGTACATTAACCAAGAGCTGCAGGGATGCTTAGGGCCCATGGTGGACTACCTCTTCCTCACACATAAATTTAGAATAATCTTGTTAAGGTCTACAAAGAACCCTATTGAAATTTTGATTTGAAATCACATTGTAATAGTAGGTAATTTTGCAGAGCGCTGACACAATTGTTGTCTTCCTATGTATGAACGAAGTATTTTTCTCTGTTTCAAGAAATATATTTCTCTATTTAGATTGTCATATGTATTTTTTCTTAGAACATGTCTATGTGTGTACACACATATAGTAAAGTGTTATAATTTAGTGCATACAGATCTTGATTGCTTTTGCTCAGTTTATCCCTAAGAATATTATATATTTTGTTACTGTTGTAACTGTTACCTTTTTATTATTTTAGTTAAATATTTTAACTGTTGCTAATGTACAGAAATACTGCTGAGTTTTGTTTATTGATCTTATCTTATTATCCAGCCATCTTGCTAAACCCTTTTTAATTATATTTGTAGATTCTTTGAGGTTTTCTGTACAGCACAACATGGGGGTTGGGGGCACCGGCCCCTGTGCGGTCACACAGTCTGCTGTCTGCCTGAAAAACAAAGGAATTGATAAATGACTCACTCGAGGGCAGGAAGTCATTTCCTGGAACTCTTGGGATAGAATCAGGAGGACTCAAACCCAAGTTCTTTTGATTCTACATATTATGATCTCTAATCAAACACAAACTTTCCCTTACACTTAAAGATTTATAAAATGAGAATGCTATAGTTACTGAAAAGATTCCATGTATAAGTAGACCCGTTAAGGTCCAACCCATGTTACTTAAGGGTCAACTACATAAATAAGTTTCCTTCAATACTTACCATTACGTTTCTTTTCAGTTGAATATCCATTTATTGTCTTGTCTTACTAAACTGTGAATAATAAGAAAGAGGAAAGGGTTTACTTTATACACTGTGTCAGACACTCCTTAAACATTATCTTAAGAAATTTCAACAATCCTATAAGGTAAATATTATTCCTTTTTTTAACAGATGATGAAAGGCAGGCTCTGGGAGGTGAGATGACTTCTTTTAAAGACATAAAAGAATCAGGATTCAAAATACACCCCCTTTGGCTTTCTATTTTATTTTTTCAGTTCTGTAACTGACAATCAGCAGTTCTCATCCATGTTAACTGTCGTAGATTTTTGAAAGTGGTGATGGGTACATAGGTAACCAACATATGGAGCTTGTTTGGTGATCTTAATCCTCCTTACAGTTTTTGGTGATAGTATTTCTACTTTTAGGTGGACGAAAGGAAAAAGAAAATAGTAGGCGAGCCACTGAAAGCAAGAGAATACGTGTTTTAAACAGTCAGCCTGTAACTCCTAAGAAATGTCAATCTAGGAAAAGACAGGTATTTGTTTATTATAATTGAATAATACTTCATGGATATTAAAGTCATAATTGAATAATAGTGATTGTTTCACATTGTTACTGTTCAACCCTAAAAAATCTTGAGTGCGAAATCTCTCTTTTCCATACTAGATTAGATGACCCACATTGTAAAGATATTCTTAAGTTGGGTGTTGATAGCATAACTTATTTAGAATTATTGTATTGTTATTATTTTATATTTTTATCTTCCTAACAGATTCAGTTTGAATGATCTTTCTGTGCTTTTTTTGAAAAAGAGAAGAATATACCGTTTGAGAAAGAATTTTTCTAAATGTCTTATTGTTGAGGTGTTGGGACTAGGATCAGATCCTAGGCTACCGTGCCTTCTTCCCCAGTGGGTATGGCCAGCAGCTCCTGCTTTTGATTAGCTTCCTGCAGGTATTTCTGTGCGTGATTCCTTATTTAGCTCAATCACCTCTACCTTTTGGAGCTATCGCTAATCAAGGGAGGCCCCTGCTGTTGTTTGCAGACCAGGGATTTAAGGTGTACGCCTCAGGATGTGTTCCTCACTTTGGGAAAGTGTACACAGCAGGCTTTCTGAGATGGATAGATAGAGTGGCTGTGCCACACTTCTTCACATACCTTTTGTCAATTTCTGCCAATAATGTACTGCCTTCACCTATATTCGTTCAGGTCAAAGGATTCTCCTAATTTTCTGTTTGGGATTTCATTTCTTTCCTTGTTGCTGCTTGGTGAATTCCCAAGGGAGGATGAAGAAATGTTGAACGTTATGCCATTATATGTAGCCAAAAGTCATGTATTTCTGTCTTTGATTTTTTTCCACTTTGTATTGAACCAAAGTGTAGATTTTTCGGTGTTTACCCTACTTTGTGTTCTCCATCCTGGATCTGTTTTGATTTTTTGTTAATTTTGGAAAATTTTCAGCCATAACTATTTCAAGTCTTTCTTTCCTTCTGGTGTCCCATTATGTGTATGTTATACCTTTTGTAATTGTCTCGCAGTTTTTGCTACTCTTTTCTTTTTCTCTCTCTCTTTTTTTATTCTTAAAGCTTTTCAGTTTAGGTAGTTTCTGTTAACTTCAAGCTCACTGAATTCTTCATCAGTGTTTAGTCTGCTGATGATCTCATCAGAGGCATTCTTCATTTCTGTTATTGTGTTGTTGATTTTTAGCAGTTCCTTTTGATTCTTTTTTTGAGTGTGAGTTTGTTTTTGAAGTATTTTTTAAATGGCTTTGTTTTACTTGTTTCTTTAATTTTTAGGCCGGGGTGGGGGGTAATTAGGTTGATTTATTGATTTATTTATTTTTAGAGGAGGTACCAGCAATTGAACCCAGAACCTTGTGCTTGCTAAGCATGCATTCCACCACTTGAGCTATACCCTCCCGCCTCTTTCGATTCTTTCTTAGGGTTTACATCTCTGCGTACATTTACTGATCTGTTTTTACATGTTACCCATTTTTTTCATTAGTGGTAAAATGCATATTGGCATATTAATCATAGTTATTTTAAATTCCCAAGCTGGTTATTTCAAAATCTCTGCCATAGCTGCGCTCGATGCTGCTGTTTCTTCAGATTGTGTTCTGCCTTTTAGTGTACCTTAGAATTCTTTGTGGATAGCTGGACATGATGTATCAGGTAAAAGGGACTGAAGTAAGTTGGACTTGAGTGTGAAGTTTTATATTTGTCTGGCTAGGAGTTAGGCTTTCTTTACTGTTCACTGTAGATGTGGGTGTCAGGGACTAAAGTTTCCTTGTTTTTGTCTCCCTTGTCTTTTGAGTTTCCCTCGAGACTCCTTAGTAACTAAGGGTCTGAGCTCTTTCAGCTGAGGCACTTAATATACAGGAGCTCAGATAATATGCTAAGGTGGGGACAGGTAGGGAAACATTGTTTAGCTCTCTGGTTTTCTCATGGTTTTAGTAAGCTTGTATCCTGGGCTAAGACACTTCACATGTGCTTCTCAGCTTTTATTTCCCTCTCTTGAATAAGACAGGAAGGCTAGAGGGGGCTGAAGTTGAGTATTTCCACAAGTCAAAGATTAGTTTCTCTTGAGGGCAGGCATTGTTAATGGGAACAGGATGCTCTGGGTGTAGTTCAGAATTGGTACTTTCCTTCTTCTGCCTGCTAGAAGTAGATTTTTCTTTCATCTTCACCCTGAGAACTTGGAGCTTTTTGGAGGGAAAACTCACAAGTTCATAGGCCCCCCAAGATTGTGCCCCTGGAGTCTTTAACTCAAGGTTGTTCACAGTGAGCCTCCATCAATTTATCCATCATAGTAAATGTTCCTACCAGTACTGGCCCCAGCCATGAGCTGCTTCCAGTCTCCTGCTTCCAGTCAGCTGTGATGCTCTGTATCCACCTTTCTGTCTTTCTGCTTTTCAAGGTAGCAGGTTGCCCTGTGACATTAATTTTCTGAGAAATCTAGGAAGTGTTGTTGACTTTCAGTTCGTTCAGTTTTTCTCTTCTTGTAAGGACTGGGATGATACTTCCAAGCTCTCTGTGTTAGTCCAAAATCCAGAAGTCTCTGTCTCATACATTTATCTTTCCCTGTGGTTCTTCTGGCAGTAATTCTAAATGGGATTATAGGTGTTATTAACTATATATCAGAAAACAGTTTCTCTGTATTTTTTGTATTTGAAACAAAATGTAGGATATCAACTACATAATTTTAAAGAGTAGAATATAGGTGGTATTGTCTGAATCACTGTTTACTCTGCCAGAAAATAATTACTTCCACTTTTTGGTGGGATAACTTATTTCATTGAGTGACTGATTTTACCTTATTTTGTGTTGAGATTTCAGTTCTTTAGAAATTTTTATTGCAGTAGACTGCAATTTCTTGTGTAATTTCTTGGACAGTTTCTTTTTGCTGCATTTGTATGTTAAACAGAAAAAGGTATTTCTGCCTGCCTCATCACAATTTAAAAAGAGGTCTTCCTTTTGTAAATTTATTCAAGAAAAAAAGTAGATGCTGAACAATACTTTTTCCCATAGATGATATATAATGGGAGTTACTATATAGTATTTGTTTTAATTATAAATGATCTTTTTTGTACACATCATCTGTTTTATTTTAAAACATGTCTACACTGCATTTGAGCACCAAGACAGATGTGACCAAGAAACCCACAGTCCTGTCTCAGCAGGCAGTGGGTCCAGTGTATGACTTTTGAGGTATTATTTTTCCCAGTAACAGAAAAATGAGAGGATAGGAAAGATGAAATGAACATTACTCTCAACTCCTGTTCAGGAATCTGAGTGATGAAATGGAATGATATTTAACTTTGAAAAGCTCTTCTAAAGCACCTTCTCTCAAACTAGTTAATGTTTAAAGGTGGAACCTGGGGTGGTGGACCAGCTGGACCTGAGCAACACAAGGGCACACAAGGAATGTGTAAAACAGCATCCATGCCTTACTGCAAGAAATGGGGAACAGGCTGTGCTTTCTGACTGATAGTTCACTTTTTCCTGTTTTACGAATTCGTACAAGTTTAGAGGCTGTCAGAACTGCACAGCCACAACTGTGATGCAGCATCAGCACAAAAAAACCTCTTTATTTTGTCAGTTGGAAAGAATCCATTTGACCTATGGGAAGAAGTGTCCTGAATAGGGTGATGCCAATACATAATATTCAGTTATGACCCCAAAGAAATATGTGGTTTATATTGAAAAGTAGGAATGTCTTTTATTTTTAAATTGTCTTTCTGTTCAGCTGTGGTTTTTTTTAAATTAGTATTTGATAAGGTTATGTTAGCCTTCTATGTCTTTCCTCTAAGGGAGAAAGTAAATATTAGAAGACTGGCAGGTTGTTTCTCAGGCACACACAGGGTTTCTTTCTGTTTGGGGACTACTTTGGTTCTTAGCTTCTGGAATAATTGCACTTCTGGCACCCTTGGGCCTCCAGCAGTGTCCTCACCATCCAGCGCTGAGACCTCCATATTCCAAAACAAAGTAGCCAACCTGAAGGACTTGCATCGTGGGAAAGAGAGGTCACCTCCCTTTGCTTTTGGCTCCCCATCATCAGAGGGAAGTGAAGGGGGCAGGTAGGAGCATACCTCTTGGGGCATCAGATCATCGCTAGAGAAGGCAGCAGAGCAAGCCTAGAGCCTGCCTGGTAGCCCTGTTGTGAGAAACAAAATGCCTTCCCCAAAGTGTACACTTCCTACTTAAGATCTAAAGTAGATGCTTTTGAAATGATTTATCTGGGCCAGTGAAAGGCAGTTGCTCATTATATATTATCCAAGTTCAGATTTTCTACTTGATCATGCACACCAAACCAGGCTTTAAAAACAGACCAAACTAGACTGGAATATGTGCATTTCAACAGATCAGAAGTTGCAAGATGCTTATACCATTTACTGACATAGCACTACACCCAAGGACTCCATTGGTGTGAATAAATAGCATTTTTAAAGGCTTAGAAAACATTATTTTATCCTCTAAAAGGCATTAGAAATGATACGCAGTTTTTCAACATTAGTTATATAAACTTTTTGGCCTTAGGAAAGAAAAAGATTGGTGCATTTTAATTTGTTACGTGCTTTTTGTATGTTTTGAGTTGTGCCCATGGCTAGGATTGTTTTGTTGTTTTGTTGTTTTTTTAATTGAATTATTTTTTACTTCTAAGAAAAGCAAGAACCAAAAGAGAATAGCACTAAGGGCACAGCTTTTGCTTATGTCCTGAAATACAATGTCTAAAACTCTTTGTTAACCTTGTGTCATTATGAATGGGATCTAGCAGTAAGTCAAATGTCCAGTGTATAATATGAAGAAACAAAAAGAGTTTTAAGCCAAAGAGTAGACTTAACAGTTGTACTGCCCTTACGTTTTCTTTCTGATCTGACGCTGATAAGCTGATTGTGTCACTTACTCAATTCTATCTGGACAACAGAAGTTGGCCTCTTTAAACTCTAAACTTTTAAAGATTACAGTTTTATTTGCTACATGATCACTTATTCTATGTGATGTTTTTCAAGACTCTTTAACCTCTAAATCACAGATAAAATTAACCAACAGCCGTTAAGAAAATATGTAGATGAAACAAAATAAGCCATAATCACTGTGTAACAATAATATATCAAGTTATAATTGCTCTTTTTCATTAGAAAGAAAAAAACTAAATATTTAATGTTAAACACATCTTTTCAGTTAACCTTTATTGACAACAGTATAACCTTTTTCTTGATCAGAGGTTGACAGACTATTTCTATAAAGGGCCAGGCAGTGAATATTTTAGGCTTTGTGGGACATATACAGTTTCTGCCACATGTTCTTCTCTTTCTTTTTTAAAATGTAAAGACCATTGTTAGCTCCTGGGCTGTACAAACAGCCTGGGGCTGTATTCTGGCCATCACTTGCCCAGCCCTTGCTGTGTATGAGCCACTGCAAAATACTGCTTAAACTTCTGTTGTACCCTGAAACTTACATAGTATTCAAGCAGAGAGTGTTAGTTATTTCTTGAGAGAAACAGGGTTTTCTAGTGTATCAGAATCCATCTTTGCTGTCTACTAAGTAAAGTAATATTGCTCAGATCATAACAAGAAAACAGTACTGTGTGTGAGGTTGGGATAAATCAAAGACTACTTGTTAAAACTGAATAAACCTGTAGCAGCTACTTACACAACAAAAATTCTTAACTTGGGGACCATAAAATTAATGGGTTTTTTTTTTTTAAAGGGGAGTCCAAGTGGCTCCTGAAATGTCATGTAGAATTTGGTATTCCTTCACTTGTCTGTAAAGTGGATCCATAGTTTCATCACATTCTCAAAGATTTATGTGACCCTAAAGATGAATAACCCACTGCTGAAGTACTTGTAAAGTAAGTACGTGCCACGCCCTTAAACTCCTCCCTTGCACGTACAAAATTTACATCTCCTTTGGTTTTGTGTCTGTTAGAAGCTTCCAGTGTGGTAAGGCTTTGTAGGAGCGGTGGCTGGTGAGGGAAGTGGACTGGCATGGTCAGTACGGAAGGTCGTAGGAGGGATGTCAGTCTGTGTGGAGGTTGAGTGGCCGTGCGCTGATATCGGCCGTGCAGTCGCTGATGGGTGGCAGCTCTGACTCCTGCAAGAGGTATGCTTATGGTCACTGTCAGGGTGTGACATTGGGCCGTAGACAAGACAGTTTTCTTTTCGTGTTTGTTTACAAGCACTTTGAGGATCTTTGTAATACTGTATCAGACAACTGAGCTGGGTATTTTTTCTTTAATTGTAATAGAATACACAAAGCAAAGTTTGCCAGCTTAACCATTTTAAAGTGGCATTAAACACATCGTTGTGCTACCATCACCACCATCCATCCACAGAGCTCTTGCCATCTTGCAAAACTAACTCTACCCGTAAAACAATTCCTCATTCACCCCTCCCCCAAGCCTCTGGCGACCACCATTCTACTTTCTGTCTCTGAATTTGATTATTTAGGTACCTCATATAAGTGGAATCAATACAATATTTGTTCTTTTGTGCTTGACTTGTTTCACTTAGTGTAATTTCCTCAAGGTTCATTTACACTGTATTATGTGTCAGAATTTCCTTTTTAAAGCTGAATAATATCTCATTGTATTTATATGCCACATTTTGCTTATGCAGTCATCCACCAGTGGACACTTGGGTTGCTTCCACCTTTTGGCTATTATGTTTTAATACTGCTATCAACAGGGTATACAAATTTCAAGTCTCTCCTTTCAGTTCTTTTGGATATATACCCATGAGTAGAATTGTTGGGTCACATGGTACTTTTATTTTTAATTTTTGAAGAACCACCATACTATTTTCCATAGCAGCCACACTTTTTCATTCCTACCAAGCATGATTAGAATTCCAGTTTCTCCAACACCTATTATTTTGTTTTTTTGATGGTGGACATCCTAATGAGTTTGAAGTAGTGTCTCCTGGTGGTTTTGATTTGCATATTCCTAATGATTAGTGATGATGAGCATCTTTTCATGTGCTTATTGGCCATTTGTATATCTTTTTTTGAGAATTATTCAAATCCTTTGCTTATATTTATTTGTAGTAAAACATAACATGAAATTTATCATATTAATCACTTTTAAGTGTATGATTCACTAGCATTAAATGCATTCTCATTGTTACGCAGCAGAACTTTTTCACCTTGCAAAACTGAAACACTGTAATCATTAAACAGCTCCCCATTTCCCTCTCCTCCCATTCCCTGGCAACCACTCTTCTACATCCTGTTTCTGTGAGTTTGACTACTCTAGATATCGAATGTAAATGAAATCATACAGTATGTGCCTTTTTGTTACTAATGATGAGTGGATTTTTAAAGAAAATGTGGAAGGCAGCTGGGGAAGTTCATCAAAGTTCAGATGCAGTAAATAATCACTCAGATGACACTGGTCCTTCAGCATGTCCGCAGGAGGAGAAGTTTGACACCTATAGCAAGTGCCAAGTGTCAGTGTTTTTTTTCCGTGTAAAGTACTGAATTGTGTTTTTAAAAATGTTCAGTCATTTTTTTTCAAAAATAAAATAGTGTATTTTTAATTTGTGTTAGTTGTGTTTTCAGAAATCTTACTTTAGAGATTTTGAGTTTTATGTGTGTGTATACTTTACCCAACAAAGAACAGGATTTCACTGATTTCGTTAGAGAACTATTAAATATTCATACGTTCTATTTAGAGAAAAATAATCTATTAGCAATTATAGAGAAGTATCTTTCTTAAGAAACAGTGTGGGTTTAAAGTCAGACAAATTGGGTTTGTATGTAGCTGTCTGATCTGGGGCCACTGAGCCAGTGTGTTCATGTGAAATGAACAGTAATGTAGAAGGACCCTTGAAAGTCTCACCACAAAAAATACAAGATCTTACAGAAACCTAAGATATGTTTGCTGGATTTCTTCTACTCTTAAGAGATTATAAAATTATTTTGATAAAAAACAGTTGTATTTCTAGTAGATACATGTTCTTTAAAGAATTGCTTCTGTGAATAACTTCTACTTTTTTATCTACTTTTGACAGTAACTTGATTTATTGTGGTAATCATTTCACAACATACATGAATACTGGATCATTATGTTGTACACCTGAAACTAATAAAATGTTATATATCATTTATACTTCAATTAAAAAGAATTGCTTCTGTGAATAACTTCTACTTTTTATCAAAAGGTGTGGCTTTGGGAAGAAGACAAAAATCTGAGATCTGGTGTGAGGAAATACGGAGAAGGAAATTGGTCTAAAATACTGTCCCATTATAAATTCAACAACCGAACAAGCGTCATGTTGAAAGACAGATGGAGGACCATGAAGAAGCTAAAACTCATCTGCTCCGACAGTGAAGACTGAGTGTGCTTGCATAGCTTGATGAAATGACAGTTAAATATTTTGATCACTGCATTTTATTTGAAACTTGGTGGTCATTAATCTAACTTAAAATTTTGTTTAAAGCATTACAGTATTTTTCTCGACACAGTCATTTAATAAGAGGATTTGTGCTGCAAGAGTAAGATTGTATGCCATCATTGTATTCCTTAAGAGTCTTTTACTTTGGTAAAAAATAAATTTGTTGAACCCTGATATTTTCAATACTCCTACTTCCAGACCTGTTCCAGTAAAAAAAAAAAAAGGAAACTTTGTAGGAGAAGTGTATTGCTTTTAACCCCTTTGTGTCTGTAGGCTGACTTCAACTCTGTAACACACATAAAAGTGAGATATCTGAATCAGTGAATAATAATTAGGCCTTTGCCACAAGGGATAATGAATTGATTTATGGCCTTAATATTTAATTACTAAGACATTTGTTTATAGAATGATAAATGGGCAGAGTAATCTGAGTTATTACATATTTAAATTTTCCTTTTAGTAGTTTCATATAAAGGGAAAAAACTTGAGAACAATACCCATAGGACAAGGTTTATAATATTACTGAGAATAGCTTAGGTCTCATTTAGGTACATTTGCTTTTTGTTTTAGTTGAAACTTTGACAAAGATGGTTGTAAGTAAAGCTTACTAACACAGCATTATAAATCAACTGTACTTGCAATAAAAAAAGTTTTTTAAATAAAGCTTTTTTATAACCTGATGCCGTAAGTATAAGTATCAGTTCCTCTGATATTTTCATTTAATAGATCAATATTAGGCCTAAACAGTATTCTGTAAATGCTTAAATTGGTTTTAACCGTGATCATTTTGATGTCTATGATAAATACTTAACAAGGTCATACATACCTTATTAGACGGTTTTGAGTTTTCACCAACATCTTTAGAGGATTTAGTAAAAAACTAGAATTATTTAGCATTTTGAGTTATGTGTGCTTTATTTAACAAGTGAGTGAAAATACTTGAGCATCTGCATAAAAAGTTAAATGGTAGTATTTTGCAATCTGTATTTCTTATTAAAGTTTTATACATTACTTTCTCATTGTCCCTGAATATGTTGTCTTACACATACAGTAAACAGAAATGTGGATAATTACTCTGTGCTTCTTGAGTCAGTCTGTCCTGTTACACCACTGGTTAGTCACTGTGTTTATTGCAGACACTTTGATGGTGAATGCTAGAGCTGATGGCATGAGCCAAAATAGACCAGTAAGTCAGTCTCATTCCAAACATACCATAAATCATCAAATCTAAGTTGATACTAATGTAAGATACTCACTTATTTTATGTGCCACTAAAAAAAATCACTATCAATTATACTTCTTATTTAGAATTCTGTTTTACCTTTAAGAGAGCTATTACAGATAGAAGCATAGATTTTTACTGTATAACTTTTTTATCGGATGCATGAAAAGGAAAAGCAGGATAAACTGGGGAATGTATTCCTAAAACTTCATCTTAAGTCTGACTCTTGAATTTCTTAATTGAAAATTTTGAGATAACTGGATTCATATGTAGTTGTGAGAAATAATAGTTCCCTTGTACACTTGTTCCAGCTTCCCCCAATGTCATGTGTTTAAAAAACTGCATTACCACCATTAGGATACTGGTACTGATTTCCCCATTCTTGCACATTGTGTGTGCAGTGTTGCGAGTATTTCATTGTGAGCATAGCACTTGTGTGGGTTCATGTGTCTGCCACAGGCAAGATACTGAACACTCCAACACCGTGAGGATCCTTTCTGTTACTCCTCTCCCTCCTGCATCATTCCTCCAACCCCTGGCAACCACTAATCTGCCTTCCATGTCTAAAATTTAATCATTTAAAGTGTTAACGTAGAATTGGGGAGGGTATAGCTCAGTGGTAGAGTGTATGCTTCGCATGCATGCAGTCCTGAGTTCAGTCCCTAATACCACCACGTAATAAACCTAGTTACCTCTCCGCCTGAAAAAAGAAGCAAAACATACATAATGTTACATAGTGACTTCCTGAAAATGGCAGAGTAAGGGGGCTCCAAAGAGCCTTCCCTCTACTGAAATGACTTAAGCTGGCAGAAACTTGGAGTCAACTTTCTGAAACTAGTAACTGGGTAGTACTTAATGAAGAAAGGCTACTTAATTTTGGTAAGAGGATTTCGGTGTTTAACCCTGCTTGAAGGGCTAAGTGGCCTGTGTTCTTGTGCGGCTGGATGCTACGTGAGGGGGCAATACGGACCTTGTGCTCAGATTGTGGTTGTGTGTTTTGGCCTGTCGGGCAGTTCCCGGAGGGTTCAGTTCAGAGGTATGCCGTTGTTTTGCCCCCTCTGGACTCTCAAGGGCTTTAAAAACATTGCCTAGAGCCACCGAGGGTCAAGGCCAGCAGGAGGGCAAGCAGCAGAGAAACCGGAAAGCCTGGGGAGGAAGGTACCTGGGGCGTGAGGGGTTAAGGGCTTTGAAGGGCTCTGGAGTAAACCGGGGAATCCAGAGGGCCAGGCACAAGCCCGGGACTGGACAGTCTCAGGGGTGACCCTCGGCCTCTCTGCCGAGTGATCTTTAGGCTTCGTAAGTGCGGGAGGGGGAGGTTAAGGCAGAGTTGTAAGTGGCCTGGCTCAGCATTGAACACGTGCTCCAACTCAGAGCCAGTCAGCAAAGGCTGAGAGAGTATCTTGTTTTTCTTTCTAAGGAAATTAAATGAAATACTCTATGTACCCTATGCCATTTTTTCTTTCACTCAACATACTCATGTTGTATGCAGCTGTACTTGTTCATTTGCATTTCTTTACAGTAATATATAATTACATCACAATTATCTGTTACGCCGCTGAGCATTTGAGTTGTGGAAATAAATGACAGCTCAGAAGTGAAAACAGGCTGTTGATTCAGGGCTTTCTATAGAAAAGGAGTCAGCCACCAGCACCTGTGTTTGGCAGAGAAGCAGGCTGATGTCTTTGATGGGACAGCTTTAGGGTGAAAAACAAAGGCTTTCGGGCGTGCCCTGATTGGAGGTTGCTGGCGTGAGGGACCTGGAGCCTGGCCAACTAGCAGCGGGGATCTTACGTGATTATTTTAGGAAACACATTTGGCTTTCTCTGGTCCTGAGGTGGAGGGAGTAGGGACAAAAAAAAACGGGATGCTGGCAGTCATCGACCAAGTCCTTCCCATTCTGGGTTGATTGCTGCGGGGGTTTAGTTCAGCCTTCTAAACTGGTGGCTGCAGACAGGTTGTGGCTCTGAGCTGTCACGTAAGCTCTGCCCTTTGTCAGTTTTTATATTCAGTCTCTGAGTTGTTTCCAGTTAATGGCTGCAAGGCTTTTCCAATTTACATGAAGTGTAATGTTAGGAGTAATATTAATTCTTAAATGAACTGTGTAAGCCCTGGAGCAATCATACACACGTAATAGATACAGACATATGTATAATTGTATACACATATGTTGCCAA